CTTATAGCAGGAAGATGGTGGAAGAGAGGAATATGAGGTTGGGTGGGAGGAGGCCAAATAGATAGGATACAGATTGATTCTGAAGAATCCAGATTGAGAATTAGGCAGAGAAATGTGCCAGAGTCTGTAACGTGTTGGACGTGTCAGGGCGCGAGAGGCTGTTTGGGGGGGCGAGGAGTGAGAGAAAATGAAAGAAGGCTTAGCGCAGAGCGTGGGCTGGAGTGCGAGTTGAAGCACGTTTTGTAAGATTCAGGAGAAATGCAGAGAGGGACTATAGTAGCTGGAGAATTTCTGCTACCGACAGACGGGGGATTATTAAAAGGACGTGCAGGACGCTATCCGGGAGCTCGATGGCGACGGGTGCTTCCGACCATTACTAGCAGTTAGAATATCTTAGAAATTGTTCTGGACGTATCAATTCGCGCTCACCAGTCAGTTGCTGCTGAATGAGTGGATGATGACTACCATTGAACGCGGTTGTTCTGCCAACAATTCCGCTTTCACCGACGTTGTTAAAAGCAGAAACCACGACCCTGGCGATTTCTTATGATCGGTCTCGTACATCTCTGAGCCGTTGGGCAACACCTTGGCATCTAAGTTGCGATGGTTGAGCACTCTGCCTAAAACAAGTAATGGTTTTTCCACGATTTTTTCTATTTACACTGTCAACACGGTTGCACATGGTCATGTTACCAGCAATGCGGTGACGGTCAGGTTCAAAGGTGGGTTGGTACCTTGTCAGCGCAGAGTAAGCTTTCTGCGGCTTAAAGACGCCGAAAAACATAAACTAGATGCCATAAACCAGACGAGCGTTCGCCTTGGATATCTCCAGGATATCGTTCGCGTCCACACTCATTTCCTCATTCTCGTTCACGACACCAGCCACAAACCCCGCAGTCCACGGTATCATGCCGGAGTGAGATAGTGCCAGTCGATTAGATTTGCCGCCTGGAAGAGCGAGCGAATCATAGAGGTTCGCCGGCACCATATAACTGTCAGAAGCCCAAAAACCATATCATTAGCATTTGGCAGCAGGGCAAAAGGAAAAAAAAAATGCGGTGCTTACGGGGCATCTGTTTCAAGTACAATACGAAGTTGGGACGCATTGAATGGCTCATTTCCCCGTGTCATCTCGCGCACGACCTGCGCTGTATTTAGATTCGTGCTGTAGGTGATTACACCTTTAAATTGAAACACCGTAGCATCGTTTAAGCGTTCTCTTTCTCTGCCAATATACTGATGGCATGACTTACCTGTGATTCCTATACATAAATTGGAAAAGTGGGATAGCAACCGACGTGCCAGTTCGGGAGAATCCGTAAAGCAGTGTACATGAATCTAGTAAGTTATCATTATGAAAGAGTGAGCATATGGAATGCTCTGGTGCGAAGCCAGGGAGGCCGACCTTGTGGTCCTTCGGCACTTCTTCCTTCAAGATAGCTTCAATATCTTCATCGGCTTCTCTTGTATGAACGGTAATGGGTTTCCCCAACGCCACCGCCTGCTGTAGTTGTCTTCGGAACACCGTTCTCTGTACATCTGCGGGGGAGTTCATATAGTGATAATCTAGGCCTGATGTCGAATATGAGCGGTGCCCGATGATTTATAACTTCCATAAAGGAAAGGGGGACAGACCGATTTCACCCCACCCGATGCATCTAGGGTGCTCCATGGCCTCCTTTCTGTCTCGAAAGGTAAGCAAAGGCATTTTTGGTGACGATAATCGTATAAAAGAAAGAGCTCACATGTCTCGTTCGACTTCATCAGTATACAGCCTAGCTTCATGTCTGATAAACGATAAGCGGTCGAGCCACCCCCACAAAAAACTAGTGCGCTTACGGGTGCACGCCTGGGTTTTTTTGGTATCAGTACGCCTCACTTGGATATCAATCAATCAAAATTGAAAAAAGTACTGACCCATCACAAACCAGTAATCGATACCTCCCCATAGGGATTTGCGTTGCTCCTCGTCCCTAGCCGAGTCGGCCACGTCCCTCCATCTTTTGTCTACTGGAGCTTCACACCAGACATCGATCAGCGTATCTACACTATGCTTGCACAGCCTTGTGTCCTGATTCTCGCTGCATGGTTTTTGAATAGGGATACGTAGTTAGGTTGAAGGAGGTCGGGAATCTCTCAGTCCGGGTCGTGGCGGAAACCAACGATGATGATCGTACCTATTATCGGCTGCCTCTTGGGGTGATATCGCTAGAGGACGGTAGAAACCCTTGACAAACTCATGGTAGGACTGGAATCCATCAGGATACACCTTCTGATAGACTGCGAACGTCGAGAGCAGATGCGTATGGGTATCTACGATCGAGGCTGCCGCTGGACGAAAAAGGCAGGAGCGCGTTAGAAAAAAGAAATTGGGCGCATAATTAACGCGAAATTGAATAGATTACATTTTCCACTTTTCAATTACTCGTGAGCTGGTAGATGCAAGACCTCTTCGGGAATTGGAGCGGCTTTCTTCTTTTTGCCCATGTACTTTTTCGTAGCGACTGAACGAACTTGGAGGTTTGCAGGTAAAGATCTATTACGAGATTCCTTGGTGATCTGCCATAAGAAAGAAGGTTTAGATTCGTGATAGCTCCAAAGGGCTGCAGTTTATCGCTTACTCACCTGGAGTCTTCGTGAGTTCTGGACGAAAATGAAGCGCAAAATAGACGCCAGTATAGAATTCGATATTCAACCAAGAGTCTGCGTGACTACAGGAATGAGCGTGATGCCGGTTGGGATTGACGATCTACGGGCGCTCAGTGAACTGCCTGGCGGGATAACTTTACTCTGCGTGTGAGTGACTTTTGACTGCGATTGGGCGGCGTTGAACCAAAACCAGTACTTTGACCTCGACTCCCCTCTCATGTTTTCTTGATGTGGGCCGTAATACTCGTGATCCTATGCTTCGGCATCAAGCTCGTCTCGTTGCAGAATGTGCGTAGGCGTTTCGCAGTCATAATAGGGCCCGAGAGTCCTTCTGAACCCTGAAGTGGGCAATGGCGCTAACCAGTTTTCGTGTCCTCGTAGTCGAATGCGACATGCTCACCCGATTTTGCATGGGTTTGCGAATTTGCTATCCGTTGCGATGTTCGCTGAATCGATGATAGGCCTTCAACCAAGCACAACAATCACCTTGCCTCGTAGCCGCCTATCTCGGGCATCAGTGCTCGCCAGACAGTCGTGCGTACTCTTTTTCACTAGATATATACGGAAATTTCCTC